CTTAGCTTTGATGAGGCCTGAACAGCCCCACCCTCTGTGCTTTGCTGCCTCCCTGGGCAGCTCTAGCATCACTACCCTCTGGACTTCAGCCCCATGGGAAGAAGGCAGGACTCGTGGGTCACAGGCCTGTGCCTCACTGACCACAGAGTTGGGCCTTCTCTCCTCTCTTGGGATTTGGGGACTTCTGTTAGGATATGGATCCTGAAATCTCTCTAGAGTTGACTTACAGTAAATTCAATATCCTTCTATAGACCAAACTTTCATTTTTCATTCATTCATTGGCAGAGATTTAGGTTGTCTCGGTATCTTGACCATTGCGAATAAGGCAACGAACATGAGACTGCAGCTCTCTCTCAAGATCCTCATTTCCTCTGGATGTACACCCAGTGGTGGGCTCTTACTCAGCATGAAAAAGAAGGAGATCCTGACATTGGCAACAACATGAAAGACCCTGGAGGACATCGTGCTAAGTGAAATAAGCCAGGCACAGAAAGACAAACACTGCGTGATTTCATATGCATGTGAAATCTAAAGAAGTCAAACTCATAGAAGCAGAGAATAGCAGAGTGGTTGCCAGGGCTGGAAGGAAGGGTGGTCAAGGGGTACAAAGTTCAGTTACAGAAGATGAAGAAGTTCTGGAGACCCAGTGCACAGCATGGTGACTGTAGTTAATAATACTGCATTCTGTACTTGGGATTTACCAAGAGGGTACATCTTAAGTGCTTTCATCATAAAAAAAAAAAAAATGACAAGAAAAGAAAAAGGAAAAAATGGTAACTGTGAGGTAAGGAATGTGTTAGTTTGATTGTTGTGATCATTTCAGTGTGTGTGTGTGTGTGTGTGTGTGTGTGTAAACATGAAGTTGTATACCTTAAAGATACACAATTTTGTCAGTTATACTTCAATAAAGCTTTAAAAAATTCAATATTTAGCCCCAACAGGCCTGGCTCCTGATATTTTATTGGTGTTTTAACAAATTTAGGGGAAAATTTCTTTGGAGACTAATCTTATTGGGAACTCAGCAATCCTATTTTGGTAGTTAAAGTGTGAATATTGATCCCCTTTTCTCCATTCTTCTATTATAATAATAAAACTTCCTTCCCAGCACAAGTTTGGATATAGATACTGTAGCTGGCTAAATTGGGATAAATCATGTACATGGAAATATAAAAAAGAAAAGCAAATATTATAATTTCTATCACAAACGTCCTAGAGGTACAAAAGGGGCAAATCTGAGAAATGGAATTCTGAGGCGGTTTGTTCAGATGCACGAACAAGGGTGAAAAATGAGTGAAAAATGACTGACAGTTTCTGATTTAGGTGAGTAGGCAGATACCACAAACCAGGGTAGGAATAGAAGAGGGTGGGGAAAAAATACTGTTCTACAATGGAGCATGTAGGTGTTAAGGTGCTTATGGTACATCCGGGTGGGGTGGAGGGCTTGGGCAGGTTGGAACCATAAACTAAAGGAGATAGGCTAGAGATAAAGATTTAGGGCCCAGTACCGTTCAGATGGTAAAGGAGAATTGGGAGTGGGGATTAGAGATTTCCCTGGGGATTGGCTGCAGATTACAGCCTAGAATTGCCAAGGCTTTGGAGTTGCTTGGAGCCTACACAAAAGCCTCCTAAATGGCTTTGCTCTGGCATCAAGAAGATGGTTTCATAGTTTGCAAATTAATCCCAGCCTACCTTGTACCCTCAACACACAGAGACATGGATATTCAACATGTCCCATTGCTTCTGAACTGCACAAATCCCTAAATTCAAGGTCTTGCACAGTATGATCTTAATGTGTTTTTGTGATACCTCTTTATTCGTCCTAATACATACTCCATGCTCCATCAAAGAATACGACTCTCCCATCTGAAAAATCGCATGTCCATCCCTTTGCTTTTGATATTTCTTCCTTCTGGAATACGTTCCACCTCAGCCCTTTTCTCATTTAGAGAGAGACTGTTCAGATGCTACTTCTATGAATATCTTTCCGACCAGTAAACTTTTGCCAACATTTGTCAAGAACAAAATATGTGCAAAGCACTGGGCTAAGCACTGAGAAGGACACTGATGGGAATGGGCTTCAGTGTCCGCCCTGTAATAGACCAAAACTCTATTATGAAGGAATCAATGCTTCTGAAAAGGTGGCTCACCCACTCCCTACATACAGTTAAACATTCAGATTCCAAGGCCACACCCCAAATCCACTGCATGAGAATCTCTGGTGTAGAGCTCAGAAATGTGCATTTTTGGTGAGTTTCTCAGTGACCTTTATGCGTTAAGGAGAATATTAAACTTCCTTCCTGATAGACTAGTTGTTAAGACCAATTAAGACTACATGAGATGCTGCTTTGAAAGCCCATTTCAAAGGCCCGTGGTGGACATCTCCTTACCAAAGTGTGTCGTTCATTTCTGTCCTGTTCAAAAATCCTCTGCTTTGTGTCCTTGACTTCAAGCTCATTCCTGTCCCACCCTAGAAGAGGCACACATGATTTTTAGGCAATTCCTACTGACTGTGGGACAAAGAGAAGCATGCAAGCATCAGGTATTACTCATATCAGTACTGTAAACTCCACCCAGAATCTGGAATCTGCTGTTACTCCAGTTCCTTATATCACCACCAACTTTGATTAGGAGCCAGAAAAAGTAGGAAGCATCTGGAGGTCGAAATCAGAGCTGGCCCCAGGCAAGGTGGTGAAGGGAGTGGGTTCTGTCTGTGGTGTCTCCTGCCTCTCCTTTTCCTGCTTTTCTCTGTTCCTCATCCCCACCTGGGGGACCTTCTTTAGCCAAGACACCCTCCCCAGTCTGCGAAAGAACTGATGGATGTTGATGACTTAATAGTTTACTGTCTTCGAGTTTTGTTAAAAAGAGAGAGAAGATGAGGCAGTGCTAACTCAAAGAGTGAATAATCAGTGGCGGAACTGTGGGCCACATGACAAGCAAGACAGGGATATTTTTAGGGGGAAGAATTTTCTATGTCCCCTATCATCAGGTGGCTTCCTGTGACTGCAGATTTTCCTAGGGCCAATCTTGGTGGCTAACATTGGCCAATCAGTCTGGGTACACGGAAGACATTGTCCAATGGCCAAACTACTAGAACTCATTACAACCCAGAAAAGAGAGAGACCATAATATAGTTACCATGAGTGGATCTCAGGCTGTGGCTAATTTGAGCTTGGGAAACTTTCTGGCCTGGCCTCACTCCAAGGCCACAGAGCACTGCAGTGAATCCTCCAGGACTCGGATGGTGTCCAGAATCCTCGCAGTATGAGCCAATCGCCTGTTTCTAGGCACAGCCGCCTCCACCCATATCCTGATGGGACACAGTGGAGGAAAGGTCATGTGGAAAAGGGAGGGACGTTTGCACAATAAAAAGAATCCGGAGCTGATATTCAGGGAAACCTGGGGTCCATACCCACAGCTACCAGTAATAAATGCGGGCACCATAGGCGGTGGCTTACCCAGTGAGAGGCTCCGTTTCCTTAGATTAGATACCTTGAATTTAAGACTTACTCCAGTTCTGAGGATTAATTGTCCTAAGCATCAAAATAAACAACAGAACTTAACAGATTCATAATGAGGAGGAGCTATGGATAGTTATGGGACCAGAAAGTCAGCATTTATGCAAGATTTTGTGCTGTTGCTGCTCAAAGTGTGGTCCCTGGAACCAGAGGCATTGGTCTCCTCAGAACTGGTGCAGATTCCCAGGCCCCACCTACTGATTCAAGAGTCTGCGTTTTAACAAGATGCCCAAGTGATTCAATTGCACATCACAGCTGGAGAAGGCCCCATTTAATGTGTATAGCACCTCTCTGAGCACCACAGTGCCTCAAAGCTTATCATTGCTCCTCATGACCCCAGAATAAGTCCAAACTTTAAAATAAAGTTTGAGGGCCTCTGCATCTGGTCTCTGCCTCCCTCTCCATCTTTGTCTCCTAGGAGATCTTCCTTTGAACTCTCTACTGCAGCCATGACTTCTTTTGCTGCATTGAGCAGGCCACATAAATGTCAGGTGTGAAATTTCCTTGGCCTGGAATATTCTCCACAAAACCGTCCCCTTTTGTTGACTTCTCTGTTATTCCTTCAAGAAATATTTAGGGAGAATTTCCTGTGTCAAGCACTCTCCTGAGAATGCACCTTGGAGCTGACCTCTCAAGCCTTCCAAATTTCAGCTGAAAGTTATCTCTCCATGGGTGGTTTCCTGACCTCTAGAAAAGCTTAGATCCCTGTGTTCTGTATTCAAAGCCACCTGTGCACCTTCTTTTGCAACGCATTGTATTTTATTGTAGTTCTGGTGTCACATCTTTTCTTCGTGTTGCACTGAAACCCCATAAGGACAGCCCTGTATCCTGCAGTGCCCAACTTACCAGCTGACACAAAGAGGTGCTTCGTGCATATTTATTGATAGACGAAAGGGTTTCCAAGACAGAAGGGCCATGGTCAAAATACAAAGAAAGAATCACTGAAGTGACAATGGAATTCTGTGGCTCTCATCACAGATGCAAGAGAACAACCTTTATCCATGACTCTTATTTATTTGATCTAAACTTCTAAAGAGATTATCTATGCCTACATTGTGCACCCTTTGGATAAAGAAAGTGTGATTTGGCATTCACAGTGGAATTCCTCTCTGCCCAGATCTGACTTGGATCCGGACCTCCCTCTCCCTTCTAGTGAGAAAACTGAGACTGTGGGGTGGAGTCGGGAGGGGCATCCACCTGGGGTCAGGACCACGTGCTGCTGTCCTTGGGTCCTGGAGGGAGATGCTACACCTTGCTTCTCAAGGCCAGGTGGTAGAAGCCAGCCTCAGATGTGTGTGGGACAAGCTAGTCCCCTGCAGAAGGGCAGAAGGCTGGAGCAAGAGCAAATGTGCAAAGATAGAAGTTTTGGGGTTTGGAAAAATTAGATTTTACTTAGGGACAGTGGAGCATTGAGGTTTATTTTTAAATTGTTGAATGGGGTCAGTCAATAAATGAGATGATGCTCTCTTTCTCTCTCCTTTGCAGGTGGCTACAGGGCAAGAAGCCATGGAAACTAAAGGAAATTTGGACTGGACATCAGAGACCACAGGAGTGACCTGTAGAGCCCCTTGACTTTACTGGTTAGGATCAAAAGCTAACCACCAAATACTAAGGCTAGTGCTTCTTTCAGTGTCCTCCTGCCCTCCTCTCCTCTTTCTTCATCAGTCCTGAAGCAGGCAGGCCCATGCTGCTGATCCCAAGTTGACCCAGGAGTACACTAAGGCTTGGACAGCTTAGTTGACCTGTCCAAGAGCACAGGAACACTCCTGACTTCCAGCCCAGTGTGGTTTCCATTAGACACTCATGCCATGGCATGAAAACCACAATGAGGTCAGGCAGATAGTTCTGCAACCTGGAACTCTGAGCAAAATTGGTTACGACTGCAGCTGACATACATGGCCCCATACAGCCCAGCAAGGAAGGGGGCAAAGGTCACACCAAGTCAGGACAGAGGCTGGGCCTCTGCTGTGTTCAGGGAACCTTTGGATAAATTCCTTCTCCAATAACAACTCCCTTATGTAAACTAACCAAAAGAAAGCAAACCCAAGTTTCTGCATATTTTCATTGTTTTGTATGATTTTTGCTGGTCTTAGAGTGCTTATGAGTCAGAAGCAATTTCAGGAAATGCTGCCCATGTCACCAGCTGGAATCCAGGTTCCTGTTCTGCAAGAGCCTTCAGACGCAGGCACATGTTTGAGCATGCATGCACACATACACACAAGCTCTCACACATGCCTACACTCACGTTCACAAACCCCCATATTCACAGACACTCACTGGCATACACTCACACATAAACTCATATACACACATACCTTCTCACATGCACTGGCACACACACTCACACAAACCTACACCATATTGACAAATTCACATACATATATATACTCACATATTTATACAAACACATGCTCACATATATACTCATATAATATGCACACACACAAACCCAGAAACACACATCCACTCACACTCCCTCATATACACACATACATACTCACACATACACTCCCACACACGTGCACATGCACGCACGTGCAGACACGCAGAGCCAAGACTTAGCTGTGGCCAAGGCGTCCTGACACTAAATATAAGCACGATGTGCTCGGCGCAAAAGGCACTTGTTGCATGAGAATTAAAACTGGATCAAGTCCACTGATTATTTAGCTATTTCCAAATATCTGCATGTTTTGCTTTGTGGACATCTGAATAGTTGGCTGGGGCAAGCTTTTCTCTGTACCTCCTTCCCTCCGGGGATGTGTGAATCAGTTGTTCCTAACCATCCCTTCCCACCAAGGCAGAGCAGTGGGAAGTGAGGTCAGTTGGCTGTCTCTGTTGCAAAAGGTACACATAAAAATGCTGATTTGAAAGACAGGGGACTGAAGGGACTTTGCAAAGTGACAGCGGCAGCCCCCTGACTCAGAAGGGGCCATCTTTCTAGGGGAAAAGAGACTGACAGCCCTCCCTCCTTTCTCCCCACTTTCTCATAAGTCCTCAACAGAGGACCAGAAGCCTTCTCACCTTCTATCCTTTCTGCAGGGGTCCATCCCAGGTCACAACACACTTCCTTGGGAATTTCCAATCTCTGCAGAATCAATGAGCCTAAGATATAATGATGGCTCTCTGTCTATGGGAACAAAGTTATTTCTGTAAAATGTGATACAACACACTACACAAAGTGTACACAAAGCCAATATTTATTCCTATCTAGTTGTGTTTGCCCAGCATTTGCTATTTCATTGTGTCTATTTCTGTTTGGTGTCTATCTGTCTGTTTTGTCTCCCCCAGACACGTAGAAGAGGAATGCTTTCTCCAGCCAATGATGAGTACAAGATTCCCAGAAATTAAGTCCTCAATTAGGGCTTTGGGTGATGATGGTAATGACGGGACATTCTGAGTAAAACATTGTAACAATGAACTATTAAGGTATCTAAAGGCGATTCTGTTTCAGAGGAGGACGTCATCGATTTGCTTGCCTCTCAATGCTGTTCAAACAGTAACAAGGCAGCATGTTAGTGCCACCCTTATTCCCTGTGGACAGCTTGAGAGTTTCTTTCTCATGATATAAGAAGGCTCACTGGCAAAGTGGGGAGAAAAATGAAACCCAATTCTGTTAAAAAGCCTCTGTCTTCCAAGAAGACACTAAGGATCAGAAACAGATGAAGAATTATTCTCTGATACTTGGTGACAACAGGCGTCTCCACTGCAGGGGTATGGGAGTGAATTGCTGGAGCATGGTTCAATTTGATATTCATGCATTGCTTAGTATACTGCTCAGCACACAGTAGGCCATCAATAATGCTGTGGAATGAATGAATGAATGAAGTCCTCTCTCCCCTGTTGTGTGGGCATATTCCTTAGACATTTCCATGTGCCTCATTCGTGTGAGAGTTCAGTCCTCATGGAACTCATCACTGGCCACATCTTCCCAGCAATGAGTTCTATGAAAATTGCACCCTCACTTTGGCTGTGATCTCCCTATAATGCTGTCCTGAGAGCTTGTGATGGAAATCCCTTCAAAAAAGAAAGGGCTTTCCTTTCTTACCCCCCAAACATCATTCCCCTGAATACAGCTTTCTATTACAGAGGATTTCAGAATCGCTTCTCATCCCTCTGCACGGGTCACTGACCTCTCTATGCACTCCTCACCTAGACTGTGAGCTCCTTAAGACAGAAAAGGAACAGCTTATTTACTGCTCACCTCTAGAGCTCAGCACACTCTAGAGCTCATCCAGTGCACAGCAATTGATGATGAGCTTATTCCAGGAAAAGTTGAATGGGAGTGGGAGGAGGACTGCATCGAGGTTTGCTCAGACTATCTAATGACATCCATTGCAAAACCTCAGGGTTCCTTGGGAATAGGCTGTGTTTCCTGGAGATGGGCAATGTGGAAAGAAGATTGCCACAGCCTCTGTGGCTGAGCAGGTATGTGGAAGATGGTTATCGCTTGCTCAATAGGGACAGTGTAGCATAGTGATTTTGTCTGAACTCTAGAGCCAGACTACCTGAGTTATGCCCTGGCTTTCCCTTCATTTGTTTTATGACCTTAGAGAGGCCCTTTAATCTCATGTGCCTTGATTTTCTTATATGTAAATGGGGCAATAATCACAGAGAAGAATAGACGAGTTCATATACGTAAAGGGTTTAGATCATGGCCTGGCACACACTAAGTTTGCAGGAAATATTCGCTAGCATGATTCTCTTTGTGCATGAAGGAAGTGGGGATCGTTCACCATGGAAGGAAACTACTCTAGATCTGAAGGACAATGTTTTCAGTTGAACTACTGAGTCTCATCCCTTTTCGGGTTCCTGTCAATTCTCTAACGGGTCTTCCTGTCCCCACCCTTGCTCTCTCCAACACCTGCTTCACCAAGTCTCCAGGATCACCTTTCCAGCAGCAGGTCTGACCGCAGCACTGTCTTCTTGAAGGCCTCTCCTGCCTCTGTCCACAGGACACACTCTCGGCTCCCAGCTCGGTACTCAGTGCCCTGCCAGGTGTGATCTTGGCCACGGCTCCTTGCTTCACCTCCTGCCACTTTCCACCTCTCCCTCCCAATGGGCTTCAGGCGCACACGGAGTTCTGAACTTCCTCCCACATATGATGGTCTTGCATCTGATGTAGGCACTGCTCCTGCTGTCAGGAATGGCACCTTCTCCACTGCAACCCCCTCCTCACCCTCACCCTCACCCTGCTGTGTGACCAGCAGGCTCTGCTCTTCCTTAAGAGCACTCTTGAGGAATTACCTCATTGGTGAAGCTGTCTTAGATGCTGTTAGGGCTGAATCGTGTTCCCCAGAATTCATATATAGTATTCCTAACCCCCAGCACCCCAGATGTGACTATAATTGGAGACAGGGCCTATAAAGAGGAAATGAAGTTAAAATGTGGCTGTGGGTTTGGACTCTGATCCATTCTGGCTGGTGTCCTCATAAGAAGAGGAAACTTGGACATGCAAAGAGACATGAGGATACAGGCACAAAGGGAAGACCGCATGTGAACTGAGGGAGGTGGCCAGAGGGCCTGAGAGGAAAGCAGCCCTGCCAACAGTCTCATCTTTAACCTCTGGCCTCCAGAACTCTGAGGAAATCAATTTCTGTTGTTCAGGCCACCAAGCCTGTGGTATTTTGTTATGGAAGCAGAGCAAGTTAATACAGATGTCCATAGAATAGCCTTGGTTTACACCTTCCCTATAGGGGATAAGCCATTTATGACATTGGCAGCTCCTATTAGGCAGGGCTCAGAGATACTCTTTATTCTTCACTCTAAACCCTGTACAACTTCTGGAAGCATGTGTTAATAAACATCACGGTCAAGAACTTCGCAGTGAGCATGTGAGCACATGGGTATCCTTGGTGTCTGGGCATACATCCTACTTCAAGACTATTTTGTTTTCTAAATGTATGCAAATGTTTGATTCTACTCTATAGCATGCTTTTGCTATAATAATGTCTTGAATTTCAAGTTACTGGTCAAAATTATTTAACTTTTATAAGCCTGACCTTCGAGTGAAATTGAGTGAGGACATGTACCATGGTATCTGATGGTTTTTCCTGCCGCCTATGTGTGGACATCCTTTTGAGAGTTCCTGGACAAGCAGTCCCAGTAGGCAGGAAATATGTGGGATATTTCAGGAACTGCTTTATGGAGAACATAGAGCAGAGGGAGCTAAGGACAACCAGAGACCAAGACTGACAGCCCATAATGAGAATTCAGATGTCCGAAAACTTCTGTGGGTGGCAGATACTGTGCTGAGGGATGCTGACAGAAAATACTCTGCTATCTACAGTAGAAAAGTGGGGCTACGTCATGATATCCACAGATTTGGCATATGCATCAGTAACCTGTGACCAAGAAAAACTGGACATCAGCTGTTTGGAGAAAAGTGGGTGACATTGCTAATCTATTAAATAGGGAAAATAATACATACAGGATTATTATTGAGTTAATTGAAAAAGCATGTAAAAGAGCTTAGCACATACTAATAAGTGGAAATTATAATCATAATCATGATTGCCCTATGGATACTCAGTATTACCCCCACAAATATTCAGAAGGGCATTGTCCTAGTAGAAGTTACTATGTTCACATGTAAAGAACATTACCCTCACTGGAAAAAAACTTAAACTGAGCCCTAAATAACATAAAAGCTAATTTCTATCTTGATCAGAAATGATTTGGAGAACAGTGAAAGGGCAGAAAAATGGTAGAGATAACCATCATAAAATGGCTTGAATATTTCTAGCACCTGCAATTCCATAAATGAATTTTAAAAATCCATGTAATAGCCATTATTTTATGAGCACTTTGCAAACTTTTTTTTCCCAATCACAACAACCCTTCTGAGCCCCATCAGAACTGATGCAAGATATTTTTTTCTCTTTAACTTAGCTAGATCCAGGTTCGTTGTCTCATGACAAGGAAAAATTAGATATTCAGACACTCGAAGAGTGAGTTGAGTAGACTTTATTAAGTGAAAAGAAAGCTCAGCAAAGAGAGAGGTCCTGAAAATAGATTCCAGTAGCCCCCTTCACAGTTGAATACAAGGGCTTTTACACACAAGATGATGGGCTGGATTTCCTACTTGTATAAGGCATGACTTCCTGGTGGTTCCACCCCATTCCCCCAGTGCACATGTGGGCCCTTAGTCTGCTGCCAGCATGTTTAGGTAAGCCCCCTGTGAAAGTTCCCTTATCTGCACAAAACATAGGTCAGAAGTTCTCTGGGGACCCTTCCCTTACTGTCTGCTTAAAGCAAGCTGGCTAACTTTTTTCAGAATCCCTGAAGTTCACCCAGTATTTAACAAATAGAACTGGGGCCGAAGCCCATTAACACAGCGCTGGGCTCCCCTCTCCTCTCCCACCATCCCGCATCCCAAATTCAGGGCAAAGAGCCTGGGATGACCCAGTTTTCCACCCTGCCTTCTGTGTGTCCCAGGAGTCAGTCAGGGGCTGGGATTTGGGTCAGATTCTGCCTGGGATCAAGAGGCTCCTCTGCAACTTTGTAGCAGCATAACCTGGGACTGGTTACCACATTGCTGGACGTCTTAGGTTCCTTGCACCTAAATAAAGGTGATAATAGTAACTTCCACATGAGTTGGGTTTTTAAAAATGATATCAGACTATATGTTTGGAATGTAATAAGCATTAAATTTTTTAAGGTAGTTGCTATTATAATATGTGTATATCCAAAACACTTCTTCAGCATCAAACCCAGTGGGCTCTCAGATTCAATGAAATCGTGTTGCAAAGTATTTCTTTACTGCAATGACTGCCACCAAAAAATGAGTCAGAACTCATTTCCAGGTGGCTCCAGCTAACACCTATTTTAATTGCCTTCCAAGTAGATACCTCCCAGGTTAAAAGTGTTGCCTACAGTCTAACATAAAATCCAGGGCCAGATATTGTTATGAAAGCCAGGTGGTCAATTACAAAATTATTTTAAAATCTTGCTCACACTCTCCTCCCCCGTGGCAAATGTTGAAATTGGAAGTAGCAGCAGAACAGAAGATTTTAACAAGAAGGTGTGAACCTCAGGGTTACATTTCCTGTTTGTTTCTAAATTAGGAGCTTTAGAGCCATACATCCATCATGGGCTTTCAGAAATTGAGAAATCCCCCTGGGTCCTCCTGGCCCAGCATGAGGCTCACTCACCCTTGCTTCGCCACCACTGTGTTATTTCTGGGCAGGTTTGTTTGTTTCTCCAGGTGCCATCCAGACAGTCAGAGCACATGACTGATCTGCAGTGGAAGGCAGGGCAAACAAAGGAAGAGAGGATGGGTACAGTGAACAAAGTGGTCCCTGCAAAAAAGAAAGCCAAACAGAGACATATGGAGTTCATCATGGAAGAGGCAAAACTCCCCAAGCTGTGCAAATGCATATGAGTGCTGAGGGCACATTTGAAACAACCGTTTTTCTATGCGCCTTGCAAATTATTTTGTGGTTTCTGCAAAGTTCCTTTTGGGTGATTGCTTTTAAGCACCACCTAAGCCCATCCCAGCTTAGCCCTTAGAAAGAAATGCCTAGAGACGTTTCTGCACGCTGGACAAACGTCATTTTGTAAAAGTTTCATCCAAGAAATGAATCCAGGGACAGTTCTCACATAAAGTACAGACTAATCCCTGCACTTTATGATTGCGTCTCTGCTGCATGGACCAGCTAGAAATTTTTTAGGGGGAAGAAAACCAGCCAAATAATTGACACTGTGTAGACAAAATAGTTAATGGAGTTATCACTTCTCTTTTAACATCATGTAAATGCAGATTGAGTCAAATGACTTTTACTGAGTTACTTCAAATCACATGTAACTGTGCCATCCCATGGTACCTACCCTCAAGGAAGGGGCTGTAATGAAAAAGCCACAGTCAAGCACTCATTCCCCAGAGACAGCTGGCGATTGCACCTTAATTACAAACGTGTGTGGGGGTGACTTGGAGGGATAACTGATGGGTATCTTCTGTCTCTCTCTGTACCTAAGAATCAATCAGAAGTAACCAGAGAGGCAACACTGGCCAGCGAATGCACCAACACAGACCATTTTTCCTTTGAAGCTAGAACTTCTTTGACCTCAGGCATCATTGATTCGCTGTCAAACCCCAGAAGTGTCCCAGAAGTTTCAACAGAGATGGCTCTAGGGGAATGTTCTCTTACTTGGTAAATTTATCAAGACTGAAAAATGAAAACATCCGCAAAACTCAATGTGGTCTTCTGCATTCCCCTTTCACCTGGTTCTCCTTTGAAAGCAAATCTATAGCGGACATTAAATAGGTTAGTGGGTTGGGGGAGGAAAAAGAAGGGTTAGTCTACATTTCTTGCCCTGGAACAGACTTCCTGAATTCTAAGACTAAACTCCAAACCATTTACAAGTGTAATTACCAGGAGACAGAATGTTTTATCAAAGTTTTGCAGCTAGTCTGGAGATCCATCCTGGGCTACAGGTAACTGTGACACAGCAAAATTTGGCCCAGAGAAAAAACACGGAACAATTGGGTAGAAAGTGGTCACAGGATGGGTTATCGAAAGAATAATAACAGGTGAAGCAAGAATGCTGAAACCTGTTCTGGCCAGAACAGTGTCTGCAAGAAAACCGTGTGAAGAGTTGAGTAGGAAATCTTTGCAAGTGAGTCCAGGGCTGAGGCGCCTGAGGGGACCCTACAGAGGGGTTGGGGCTTTGACTAAGCTTTTCCAAACCTCAAGTCATAAATTTTTGTACACAGAAAACCCTGAATGTGAAAAATAAGTCAGCAATGACCTGGACTAAGGACTACGCATTACATTCCAAGACTGCATGTAAAATTAAGCCCTCTGGATTCCATTCAGTAAACGTAGAACCAAGTGCCTCGTGGATGCCCAGGCTGTGTTACTGTGGGGAACAATCGAAGAAAAGGTCCTTGACTCTCAGATGTTTAAACTCATGTCTTCACCCAGACTTTCCAGGTGGCCATTCCAGCATAACAGATCCTGATGGAAAACTGGTGAATGGGATTAACCTTGTAGTCTCAGAACACTATTAAATTATTTTGTAGCCCAAAACGTTCTACCATCAATATGAGAAAGTTAATTTTTAAAGGCAATATTTCCCTTCTCTGTAACAATTCTTCTTACAGCTGTGGGAACATCAAATTTCTCATATGCAAGAATGGCCAGCAAACCCAGCCCTGAGTGTGCAAATCACTCACCCATTCCAATGAGCAGAGCTCATGATTCCTGAGGAATATTACCTTCCCAGCTTGAAGAGAAGATACTGTAACTTGGATGTATCCTGCAACATCTCCTATTAAGAAGCATCTTTCCCCAAAATCTGTTCCACAGATATTCTGCAAAATTCGCATTCCATTATCATATGTTTAGGAAGCACAGGATTAAACTGAGTTTAAAAACGTTAAAACACCTTAAGTTAAAATTTTTCTTAAGCATATGTTCTGAGTCTTTGATGTACAGTGTGAATTGCAAGTGGAGAATGAAGTATTTTTCAATCTTATTTGACCATGGAACCCTTTCCTCATAAAAATGATTTCCAACACAAGCAGTTCACAGAACACACTTTGGGGACCCCGGTCAGGGGCCCATGCCCGAGAACACGCTCTCCTGCAGACTTCATGCACCCACATGAAGAGTGCTCCTCAAAGTGATTCCAGACGAGCTGGTCCCCTGACAACCCTGTGCTACTATGAGCAGTTCTCCTTATGATGAAAATGTCCATGACTAATATTCATTATGTTTTCTCCAAATATTTTTTCTTGTGGTCACAAGACTTACTTTCTACCCAGATCTTTTGTTTGGATGTGATGAGGAAGCAGAGCTTGGTCTCTTGGGATCTCTCCCCAGTTCTGTGTTGACATGTTACTCTGTGTCACATTTAGCTGGCCGGCCCCACTGGGAACACTTTATCCTTTTCCTCTGAGGGAGGTGATGGGGCGTCGGATGTAGGTTCGGCCCTTAGCAGGACCATTTTGACCGAAAAAA